CTCACGTAAACAGTGCAGATGTGTGAACGAGCCTTTATCTGTATGTTTGTTACCAGCTGCAGGAAACAGAAATGTGCAGCCTGAAAGGAGCTGGAGATAGATGAGGACGGGGAGCGATAGCGAGGCACAAATGAGAGACGAGAGGAGGCAGCAACAGGGAAGTACTCACTCAGTGGAGGGGAAGAAAAAGCAAACTCATCGTCCTCTGTCACACACTTCTAGCGTTACAGAGAGAAACAAACAGGTGTGTTGTACTGCTCTCTCGCTGCCCCCACCTCTCCTCCTCTCACTGGGCGGGGCTCGGCTCCTGAGGGACTCGCCTCCTCCTCACTGCCAGGAACAAAACCTGTCGGCTGCACTCTTTTCCTCCTCCTCGCTGCCGTGAGCAAGCGGGAGTCAAGATGATGCAGGAGGTGTCTATCATGGTGGCGTACGATGCTCACGTAGTCGACCGACCGGGCGAGGAGGACGCCTTGGCGTGCTTGGTTGCCCATTCCAGACCTCGCCGAGCTCCCAGACCAGTGGTAGGTCTGTTCTGATGTCTTGTACTTTTTAAAACATCTACAACAGTTTGGCCTCATGTTTCTAGTTACTGCAGTTTTTAGACCAGCAACGTTTGAAGTCACCTGCTGCTGTAGCTGTTTCTCTTTTCTGTTGTCGCTTTCTTATCTTTATTTTATTTTTTTTAACGTCCTGCGTCACATACAGAGGAGGAAAATGCGTTTTTCTTTCCCTGCGTTAAACGGTGTAAACACGTGTGTGAACATGTGGGTGTTTGTTCCTCTGAAAGTGTGTCAGATATTTGAGGTTTGTCAGTCAGCGCTGCTCCGTGACAGTCACTTTGTTTCAGTTACTGATCTTAATTTGGAATCAATGAGACGTGTGTGTGTTTCCTTCACGCGCTTCATTGAATTATGTGTTTTTTTTCTCTGTGGCTCAAATGTCCGGCTGCTGTCGTCCTCATTTCCTCGGCTGCTCCTTCTTGTAACTGGACTTCACTCTTCTTCATGTCTGTTAGTCTGAGGTTTGGGACCAATTCCATTTTCTGCAGCAGCGATTCAGGTCAGGAATCTAAAAGTGGGCCTGGGACCATTTTGCTGCAGCGCCAGGAATCTTAAATTGCTTTTCCCTTGATTGGAGTGGACCCTCTAATATTTACAGTTGGATGATTCACCTTGGAGTCCAGTGGGTACAGTGTGTGTTACTCAGCAAGGTGATGCAGCTTGTGCGAGCTTGCTAAACAGACCCGTCCCTGAAATTCCTAAAATAATAATGTTTTGTTTTACTGGGAATGCCAGCATGTAAGCCTGCGCTCAGTTATGAAACAGTAATAATTACAAATTTATTGTTTTTGTCTTTATAGTTCAGTCTGTTATATTTCAAAGTGCTGTTACACAAACATGTGAGCAGAATTGATCCGACGTGAGGGTGAGGTCGGGTCAGCCTGAGGCCAGGGCCCGGCTGACCATGTAATGGAGTACTTGTGTTACGTGTAATGGAGTATTGTCTGGCATACAGGTCAGTTTACTCCTTGCTGTGTGGTGGTAGGATGGGGAGGT